GTAAGGACGCAGTAACGAGACGTGGTAGACATCATGCACACAAGCCTGGCGTAGGTAGTCGGGCAGCTGCACACGAAAGATGACCGGGCTAGATGCCGTATCAGAACCGACGGCCTGGAGGATGCGGCATGGGCCAAAGAAGCGACGCCGAAACTTGCGAAGCGTGTCCGCTTCGAGCTGTATGTGGCGATAAGCACATCATCACCAACCTTGAATGGGTGATCCATCCTCGATCGGTTCRCACGTGCTGCCATGCGAGTCTGGGAAGCGGTTATGTGCTCATGTGCGGTCTTCATAATCGACGTCATGTGTGCAACCCAACCATCCAGCGCGGGACAACTCGTGTCGGGGTGCATCTGGGACGGTCGAAGGAAGTCCGCAAGAACACGCGGGTGATAGCCGAGGTCGCAATAGTAAGGCGACATCCCCGTGGCTGGCGAGACGATGTGGTTGTAGGCTGTCTCTGCGTGGGCAAGATGGAGATCCCACTGCTGGTCGTCACGAACAATCTTTCGGAGAATATCCCCGAGAGTCTTGTTCGTGATCTCGGTCTGACCATCAGTCTGAGGATGGTAAGACGAGGAGAAGCGGAGCTGAGTGCCGTACACCTCGTGGAGCCGTCGCCAGAATCGGTTGGTAAAGCGCGGGTCACGGTCAGATATGATGCTCTGAGGTAAGCCGTGGTCACGCACAACTCGGTCAAATACGATGTCGACAACCTCACGTGCACTGATGGCATAGCGGCACGGAACAAAGCGTGCACGCTTCGTGAAGCGGTCGACGACGAAAAGGATAGCATCATGACCGCGGGGGGTCGGAGGTCAAAGAGGACCGATAAAGTCCATCGAGATGGACTGCCAACGACCCTCAGGGATAGGAAGAGGCTGGAGCAAACCATAAGGTAGGTGGTTTGCGTTGTTCACCTCCTGACAGGTGGGACACTCTGCGACGTAGTCCTTCACAAAGTCCTTGCGCTTCGGCCAGACGTACAGGCGGCTCACACGAGCCAACGTCTTGTGGAAGCCCATATGACCGACAGCTGCCTGGTCATGGAACTCTGCTACTGCTCGGACACGTAGCTGTCCAGTGGAGGGAACACAAATACGGGGCTCTCTGGTGCCCTGTGAACCGTGCCAGTACACAAGACCGTTGTCCCCGAGAGAGTAGTTCGGGACGGTCTTGCCACTCCGAAGGGTCGCGTGGATGTCGCTATAGTCGGGGCAGTGGCGAACTGAGTGCGAAACTCGTCGATCACCGAGTGGTGGACGGTGCTGACCGAGATGGAAGAGAGCTGGATGTGCTCCTGGTCGTGGTCAGGGCACCGGCATAGGGCATCTGCGACCCGATTAGTCTCACCCTTGATGTGCTCAGTGGTGAAACTAAACTCGGATAGGTCGCGCCACCAGCGAGCCTGTCGAGGAGTGAGCTTCGGCTTTGTCAGAAAAGCCTGGACAACAGAGTTGTCCGTGCGCACCGTGAATGGTGCCCCGTGCAGGTAGTGACGCCAGTGCCGAGCGGCATAAACTACTGCGAGAACCTCACGTTCATCAGCAGTGTAGTTTATCTCGGCGGGCAGGAGCTGACGGGAGTAGAAGGCTATCGGACAATCACCTGAGCGGGACTTGACAGTGCCGTCCTCGGCGATGGTAGGAGAATAGTCAATAGAAGGCTCGTCAGTAGCTAGACGAGTAGGCGTGAGTCAGGAAGCAGTGGTAGGGGTAGGTGGTGGGAAGCGAGGGATACGAGGATGAGAGGAATCAGGAGATGAGGGGGAGACCTGAGAAAGCACTGCTCCTACAGCGAAGTCTGACGCATCAGTGGTAAGGATAAAAGGGCGGTCAAAATCGGGTAGGTGAAGACCTGGTCCGCATGTCACCGCCTTCTTGAGGGCGCGGATGGCGTCCTCGTGGAGGGGTGTCCAAGCCCAGGGTAGGTTCTTCCGGAGGAGGGTGGAGGTAAGGACGTAGGAATACCTAGCGTATCCCCGGATGAAGTTACTATAGTAGCTGGTCAGGCCTAGGAAGCTGCGAAGCTGGTTGGCGGATGTGGGAGCGGGCCACTCCGCAATAGCAGTGATCTTCGCGTCGTCCATGTGGAGACCCTGGTCAGACACGTAGTGTCCTAAGAAATCCACTTTGTGCTGGGCAAAGCGGCACTTGTTTAGCTTGACGTAGAAGCCATGTCTGCGCAAGCGGTCAAGGACGTCGCGGAGGTGTCTGAGGTGCTCCTCAAGGGTACGACTATAGACCAGGATATCGTCGAGGTAGACGAGAACATACTGCTCCAGGATGTCCCTGAAGATGTCGTTCATCGCCCTCTGGAAGGTAGCGGGTGGGTTGGTGAGGCCGAATGGCATCACCGTGAACTCGTAGTGGCCGAATCGCGATCGGAACGTGGTCTTCGGCTGGTCGGCTGTAGCGACGCGGATCTGATGGTAACCGCTACGAAGATCAATCTTCGTAAAGAAGCGGTTGCCTGCTAGGCGGTCGAACAGCTCATTGGAACAAGGCATGGGGTAGCTGTTCTTAACCGTGTAGCAGTTGAGGCCGCAGTAGTCGATGCAGAGACGAAGAGTTCCATCTGCTTTGCGAGCAAAGAGGACGGGTGCACCCCACGGGGAGTTGCTGGGTTTAATGAAACCCAGTCTCAGGAGCTCCTCAAGCTGACGCTTGAGTTCGGTGGCCTMGGGGATCRAGAGTCTGTAGGGTGTCTGGTGGTGAACACGATAGTCAGGCACGAGCTGAATGGAGTGCTCAACGTCACGCATCGGTGGGATGCCGGCGTACGAGAACGACGATG